AGATAGATAGATAGATAGATAGATAGACAGACAGACAGACAGACAGACAGACAGACAGACAGACAGACAGACGGGAGAGTGGCTCCTACAGATCCCAGGAATGACATCCGAGCTCTCTGTCCAGAAGAGTGCAGTGCTAGGAACAGCTAAGATGGTGCGTAGAACCCTCAAACTCCCAGGCCTCTGGTAGAGGACCCGAGATTGAGGAAGACACAGACCACCCATAGGGGTGAGAGGGTTATTTATTTATTTATTTATTTATTTATTTATTTATTTATATGTGTGTGTGTGTCTGTGTTTGTGATACATATATACAGTCTTTCCCTCTGTACAGCAGACTCTGAACTGTGAATTTTTTTTTCTTTGACAACATTCTCCCTTTTTTTTCTTTTTTCTTTTGGTGATTAAGACACAGAAACATGTTGACATGTTGAAAACATAATTATAGAAAAGCCTTAATTATATTGTAGTAATCTTGCTACCAACTGCTTTTTGTTATAGCCTGTGTTTTATTCTCATTTATATCGACTCTTGGTACAAATCAGTGTCTATATCTCATTAATAATGCCACTTAAATCTATTCTTTAAATTAAATGAAAGCAAAAATATGATACAAAAACACGAAATTAGGAGAGATGGGGATTATGGTTTGAGAGTTGGAGATTGGAGAATGTCATTCTCCCATCTCCCACTTATTTCCCTACAACTCCATCCCCAAAATGCTCTTTCCCCAAAAATGTATCATACTACTTTTGCTATCATACAGATTTCAGGGTGCCGTTCTGAAAAATATCTCAAGGGGATTCTCTCTGTGCAGGCCAATCACCTGATCTCAATTGTCACCATTCATTGCAATGTTTTTCAGTATGCAAGCCTGTGATCCAGTCAGGAATTGGTTTCATTTTGAATTAATTTAAGCATTCAGTCCAGAAACATTCATTAAGAACTGATGCTGTTTTCGGAGGCATAAACATGTAGTAATCCAAGTCATTTTTCAGGATGCAAAGCTTTCAAAAAAGCACAAAGCTGAATGTAGGGTTACATTCAAAACTTCGAATGAACGTTGCCCAAGAACTAAATGGCATGTCTGAATGTTGACATGGGCAAGTATTTTTACTTTTTTTTTCTTTCCAGCATACATTCCCACAGGAGAAGGATGCTGGGAACTTTATTGCCAACCCATAAAGTGAGGCTTTTGAAGGGCCGGACTCCAAAGTATGCTAGTTACCTTTTTAAAAAGAATGCATTTGTTTGTTTCACAATACAGTGAAGAGAATATAAAAGCCATATACAAGAGCCTTATTCTCCGCTGGGCAGGCGCGGTGTCGTGACCCGAGGCTGCCTGCGCTTCCGACAACAGGTAAGGGCATCTAGCGATCGCGCTTCGCGGGTCCAGAAAGCCTATATGCTCAGTACCCCCGTAGATCTTCCTTTTATTATTATGGACGCGTGCACGGCCAGTCCCAACCAATCAGAGCTACGTTGAATATTCATGACCTCCCTCTAGCCAATGAAGCAGCGGGCAGGGAGCACAAAAAACCTGAAGTCGAAAGAAATAAAGAAACTCCGCGCGCAACTTTTCTCACCTTCCAGCGCGGCGCTGGCGCTGGCGCGGCTCTTCCCCGGCTGGAGGATCCCTCGCGTTTAACTCCCAGCGCAGCGAGCGTGCCCGGCGAGCAGAGCGCAGCGTCGGCCAGATCCCCAAGGGCGAGGGGGTTGGCGGTGCCCGCGCCCGAACGAGCAAGGGGGAAGGTAGGGCTTTGGCTCTCCAAGGAGCTCCATGCGTTGGCTATGGAGAAAGGGGCGCCCTTGGGACTGCCTCGCCTGTGCGTGCTGTGGACGGCGGTGCTGTGGGAACTCTGCCCCTGCGGCGCCCACGCCGACTGGATGTGAGTAGAGTGGACTCGCTGGAGCCGGGCGTGGGAGGGAGCGGTTTGAATCTCCCGGGTCTGTAATCTGCAGGAGTGCCCGGCGAAGGATACGGGATGTGCGCCTTCTGAATGAGCCAGCGCCGCCTCCACACTGCGCAATTCCATGATTGTCCTTGGGTGAAGCGCTGCAAATGACGTTTGTCCCCTGCCAGAGGCCGGGCGGATGGTAGTTTGAAGTGAAAACATCACTGACGAGCATGAGCAATCCCAAATCAAATGCCGTTCCCTTGAAAAGGCTCAAACGGTGACAGGATGACAGTTCTTAATGATGTTAAGGCAGGTCACTTTCTACTTCCTAACTAAGAGGCTTTGAATCCGCTGAAAGGGGAAGGATCTCCAGGCCAGTTGAAACCTCGCAGCTGAGTGGGTTTTTTCAAGCCCAGCCTCTTTAGCCCTACTTACATTGTAGTCTGTGTCAGTATTATTAATGTGCCGTAAAACAGAGTTTTTATTAAATTACAGATCAACCAAAAACAGATTAACCAAAATGAAACCATAGGGAATGTATTATATACTTTATTTTGCTAAATAAATGACCAGCTGCTTGTTTACAGCATGTTCAGATGGTCTAAAAGGTGAAAGGGAGGTTTGAATGTGTGCATGTATACACACACACACATACATACCTATTTAATGTTGTGTGAAAAGAGCCCAAAACTCTGGCTTGAATGCATTAAATCTATTTAAATCTACCCTTACTGCATTTCCTGAAGGCCCAAAGGCTTGTGTGTGGAGATGCTCCTTTAAATATATTCAAACTGTGTACTGTTCCCAATAATTGTGCCAGAATAACAACCTTATTTAAAACACACACACACACACACACACACACACAGAGTCAGAATACCTGGGCCCATTAATCTTTCTGATTACAAAATAAAACCATACTGATGGGCATTCCACCGCTGCTTGTTGTCTTGTGCTATCTGAAATTATTTAGAAAAGTTGTTAAATGTGAATGCTGTTATTTTAATATTTTGAAGATAGGTTTAAAAATTATTCTCTAATTACTCAAAAGCTGGCAGCATTCAGGCAAACTTTATCTGAATTTAGAAGCTAAGCAGAGTCAAATATGGCTACACATTTGGATGGGAGACGACCCATCTTAGGACTATGACTAGGCTAGGAAGTCAAAACATCATTGTGGAGGATAGACAATGGCAAACTGCTTCCTTCTGGTTGCCATTATATGGATGTATCCATGGAGTCCCAAAGGATTACATTTGACTGGAAGGAAGTTGCTTTCTAAATGGGCATGGAAGTCTGAGGGAATGTGTCAACTGCTATGCAGTATGCATTGCTATAATCTTATACCTTTTTTAAAAAAATAGTTCTATAGCATTTCCTGCCATTTGATAGACTGTATTTTTCCAAATTGAATTGCCTTATAGGAAAAACTATATTATTCTGAATGTAGACTTAATTTGAAAATGATCCTCTATTTAATGTGGTTTTTTTCCATGTAAGACCTTTGTGAGCACACAAATATGAACATCGGACATTTCCAACCCAAATGGGGACTGAGCTAATCTCTTTTCTGAAGACTGCTCATTCAGAGGAGCTCACAGAACTAAGTAGACCACATGTTAAATAGCCCCATTCCTAAGCACTTGCACAGGCCTGGCCAGGTAGTTCTTTTATTTCAGGTTTGCCATTCCAAACTATCTGGACATAGCATCCTAGAGGGTGTGGAGAAATGTTCCAATAAAAATTAAAAGGTGTTCTTCGCAGCACTTGTAAAATAAAACCCACAGGGCATGTTCAGTTTGAATATAACAAAAGCAAGCAATCTTAAAGGATGTATTTCATTTGGCACAGGGTGCGGAGGACTGCACTGAAAAAATGGCAGTGGGGAAAAAAGGAATAAATTAAGAGTAAATACATTCGAAGTATGAATAAAGACAGTAAGTAGCAGTAGCAAGATGCTTCCAAGAGGTCTAAAAGAAGAACATTGAAAGGCATAGCAGACATTCTTTTACACCTTGGCCACCATTATTTTTTCTTGAAGATAAACTATATATACTGTATGCACACAGAGCCTGCATTGTCATCAACTTGGGCTTGGAAAAGACTGAAAAGTTTAGAGTGCAGCAAAAAGTATTTTTGAAATGTAATTTCAGGCATGAGTCTGAAATTCATGGTATCCTGGATGTTATTCATTTTTAATTTTTTCTAGATCTCTAGGCTTGTAAACAATTTAATTACTTTTGAAATCACTGAAAGAATAGCCCATGGTCCCCAGACTCCTGATTCTTTGCCTATAATTAATCTTATTAGCCAGTGCAAGGAGGCTGTCACTTAATATGCCTACCCCAAGTCTCAGCTCCTTTGTCCATCTGTGTTTGATGATGGTGTGTCATATTTTTCCCCATCGTCACTCTATGGAGCTGTGGCAGTTCTTGACCGTAGAGGTTTCATTATGGGCCACCTCTCTGTCTGTGAGCATAACATGAAACACGTGGTATTTGGGTCTCACCCCCGGGACTGCTTTTGCAGGTGGCTGGGTATTGCCTCCTTTGGTGTCCCAGAGAAATTGGGTTGTGGTAACCTGCCGCTGAATGGTCACCAAAAAGACCTGTGCAAGAAGAAGCCCTACCTCCTGCACAGCATCCAAGAAGGAGCACGCTTGGGCATCCAGGAATGCCAGAGTCAGTTCAGACATGAGCGGTGGAACTGTCTACTCTCTCCGGAAACGGTGTCTGCACTTTCCACTAATCCTTCATCCATCTCCGTCTCTCCTGCTTTCTCCGTCTTTGGCTATGAGTTGAGCAGCGGTAGGTTCTTAGTTGGCAGCAGTGGTGGTTGGGAGGTCCTCTTGATGGCTTAAGCCTGAACTCTTATGGTCAATGTTGGCCAAGCTAGACCAGGTTCTCATTAGCCCAGGAACAGAGTGATGCTATTTGACAACTTGGATCATCCGCTTACATAAACGAAGTAGGGTAAATATATTCATTTCTGAGGAAATTGTAGGATGTGAAAAAAAGTTTCTTGAAGAAATGTTGTGAATTATTGTATCCTCTCATTTATATGATTTGAGCATATTGGTCCCATTCATGACTCAGATTCCGACTAAGTTGTTTATTGATTGAATGGACTTGGGTAGAACTGATTTTCTGGAGTGAGACCAGATGCTAGTACTCTTAGCTGCATGTTAGCATCATTAACTTTTAACCACAGGAACATACTGCTGATTTTTAAAACAAACCCTTGTATTTATTTTTTTTTTGTAGGTACCAAAGAAACAGCATTTATCTATGCTGTGATGGCAGCTGGCCTCGTGCACTCAGTGACACATTCATGCAGCGCAGGGAACATGACTGAATGTGCCTGTGATTCCATGTTGCAAAACAGTGGTTCAGCTAATGAAGGCTGGCACTGGGGTGGATGTTCTGATGATATCCAGTATGGAATGTGGTTGAGCAGAAAGTTCTTAGATGGTCCTACAAAAAACATCACTGGGAAAGATAGAAATGGATTGATAGTCATGAATCTGCATAATAACGAAGCAGGAAGACTGGTATGGATTCAAATCCTTTCCCTTCCATTCTTCTCTCCCATATATCCATGAATATTGGTGAGAGGAGGTTACATGTTTCTTTTATTTAGTTCCCATCTGAACATAGGGTTCATGTGATCATGCCTCAAGATATTTTGTCTGTCTGATCTCCACGCTAGCTCCACTATGGCAAATAAGTGTGGAGAATCCTTGACATGTTACTGAATTACAGATCTCAATCTCCTGTACCATTGGCCATGCTGGCTGGGTCTACTGAATGTTGTAATTCAGTAACAACTGAATTTCCACCAAAGAAGCTCTCTCTACCTGGGTGCTCTTCAGAATGGGCTCCACTAAAGAGAATGCACTTTCTGTGTGGAAATTAAGCTTTGAGGAAACCACATATGACAATATATTTATTTGACTTGTTGTGGGTACCTACAGTCTGAGAGTACTGGAAAGTTGTCAGCCCTTTGAAATAGGTCAGGAAATGTACTCCACAAGAAATATTTGAACTCTAATTTATTGATACAGGTTAGAGTAACAGAAGGCCTGAGAGCCTTTTTCTTCCCTCCCTCTTATACCAAAGAGCAGTGTTTTTCAACCTTGGCTACTTGAAGATGTGTGGACTTCAACTCCCAGAATTCTCCAGCCAGCATGCTGGCTAAGAAATTCTGGGAGTTGAAGTCCACACATCTTAAACTTGTAGAGGTTGAGAAACACTGCCAAAGAGGGTCAAAGAGTTAAATTTTTTTCAAATACCTTCTTTAAGCCTTCCTGGGCTTAGTTCATATTCTGCTAAGTGCCATCTCCTTCCTTCTTCAGTGCCATCTCTTGTTCTCTGCACAAGTCATGTATATGTTTTTCTGTAGAGTGAATATTGATGTACTGGCCCTTCTTTATTCATACAGAAATCTGAATGGGGTCATGGACTGCAGTAAGTAGTAAAGGCTATCAGAATGGTACATACAGTCCACCTTCCCCTTGAACTTTCAGAGCAGAGAAATACAGATGTTATATTATGTACAGGATTTTACGTGATTTAACGGGAGCAGGAAGCTATCCCTCCACATTGCTTCCAAAGTGTCTAAATGCTGAATACACAAGCTGCTGCCACTTTGTCCACTTATGCAAGCTGCTGCATAGTTTGAAAATTGCATGCTGTATTTCTGTTGTACCTAAGGAAATTTGGCCCTTATCTCTGAGGAGCAGCTTCTAAATAAAGACAAGACACTCAAATGCTTTGGAATGTGCTTAGTAGTATCCTACCTAATAAGAGAGTTGATCATGTCTGATTGTGGTTTGCTTTAATTTTTCCTCCAGGCAGTAGCAAAATTGATGTCCATCGATTGCCGCTGTCATGGTGTATCTGGTTCTTGTGCTTTGAAAACTTGCTGGAAAACCATGTCATCCTTTGCAAAAGTTGGCAGTTTTTTAAAAGAAAAGTATGAGAACAGTATCCAGGTTTCTTACAGACTAAGAAAAAAAATACGCAGGAAAGAAAAAAGCCAACGGATGATCCCAATCCACAAAGAAGACCTGCTCTATATCAACAGATCGCCCAATTACTGTATGGAAGATCGCAAACTGGGGGTCTCTGGGACGCAAGGAAGGGGATGCAACCGCACATCAGCGGGGTCTGATGGATGCAACCTCCTCTGCTGTGGCCGTGGATATAACACTCAGGTAGTCAGGCACGTGGAGAGATGCGAGTGCAAATTTGTTTGGTGTTGCTACGTACGCTGCAGAAGATGCGAGACCGTGACTGACGTTCATACTTGCAAATGAAAGTGGTTGCCTCACAGCTGTTGATAGAAAAGCAAAATATCTTTCCTGGATCAAGCGAAAGACAAGATGAACATTTTCTCCAGAGTCCAAGGTTGAAAGCTTTTTGTTCTTCGTGCAAAAGCAACTTGGAAGAAACCGCAGTCCTACTCCAAAGCAACAAATCACCCGAGGGCTCGGCTTTCGTGAAGAATTTGCATACTTGGATGATTTGCATTTGGATAATTCAGTCCTCAGTGGCTGTGGATTTTCAATATTTCAATCACATGCAGTGCTTTCATAAATTTAATGGCCTAGAAATCAGACTAGCTTAGATTTAACATTCAGAAGTTAAAATAATATCCAGTATAAGGCATCTTGCTCATGTATGTATGTATGTTTATAGGGCAGCCATAAAATCATTTGCACAGCAGTTTGCAGTTGGGGATCAGATTGATACTCAAGCAAAGCATCTAAGGCTTGGTTAACTGATCACAGCCAAAAAAAAAAAAGTCTACTTAGGTTTCTTGGGGTAGATTTTATGGTTGGTACAATCATCAGCATTTGAGAACAAGCTTGTTAAAGCAAATGGTGTGCTGTACAGCAACACTGTAGTCATATGTTTTCACTAACTCTATTCCAGTGTTCCAATTTTTCATGTAAGACAAATAGAGAAACAGAATGGCACACTTATGGCAATTGTACAGTAGTGATTCAGGTAGTCGGGTGTTCCTGCTTTCCCCTGAGGCATGCTGATTATGTCCACATTGTGATGCATTTCAGAGCAGCCTCATTTTAAAAAAAGGCACGATGCTGATTTGTAAAGGTACTATACAATGTAATATGAAATAAATGATGTACTTATTGAGGATCCCTTGCATATGGAACAGACACAAGTTACCTGTCCAAGGCAATTGCAGATTGCAAAGCTGCCTACGTAGCTTTATCAGAGCGTTACACTAATCTTAATAAAAGAAAGGGTCTGGCTTCTTAGCCTTTGGGATCTTTTCTTCCACCCTGTAAGGGGCATTGGTTCTGATCAGCCTCCACTGCAAAGTATATATCATTTCTCATGAAGTCCTTTTCCTAATATTTGGAAGGTAAGGGCAATTATAAAGAGCAAAAGAAACTCTGCAAATGCTGAACTTCTTAGTAGGTATGCTTAGAATGGCACTTAAATTATATTAAAATACTTCTAATTTATTTAAATACTGTAATGTGATGATACACTCTCTTTAACCTGTATCATCTACACACCAAAGGAAACTATCTTGGCTGCAAAGTACCCAAGGACAGAATCACACTTCCTGCGTCTATTACATTGCAAAAGTACCTTCTTCCAGCATTGAGGACCAGATTGCTGACGTCCATCCACTTCTTATGGAAATGGAAAGGAGAAGCTTGGTTTTGTGTGGGGATGAGAGAGCTGTTTTTCCTTGTGGTGCACCACTAGGCATTTCTAGTGTTCTTTCATATGTACATGAAATTTGGGGTATAGGATTAGAATCTTAAATATTACTCTGGTTGAATTGGGGGAAATCAACTTGCAATTCAGTCAAAAAAATACTCAAACTATGATTTTCTTTGATTGTTTGAAACTGAATTTGTAATGCATAAAGAAGCTTGATTTTTTCCTGAACATACAGTATCTGGAAGACTATAGGCCCCATTCTTGGACTTCATCTGTAGATCTGTTGTATTTTCTGTGGTCATGGAAAGTTGCGCACACATAGCGCTTCCCTCAATTGATTGTCCATACCAGAAATTTCTCTTCCATTCACAGATAGCGGCAGAAATATTCCACTACTTCGTGCCAGGATGTTGGCTATTTCAAAAAAAATTGTCCCCTTGATTTGAACGGAACAGTCATCTGGTTATGATCTACTCAATAGTTTGGTTTGGCTTACTCTATCTCTGCCTTTGAAGTTTTCCCAGCATCAACAATATTTATAAGAATAATGGAGGGATTGAAGAATCCTCTAATTTTACCCCAAAACAGAACTTTTATTAGCTCTCACTGAGCTCACTTCTTAGCCACTGCTGGATTAAAATCATAAGCGCAATGGGTTGGCTGCCTGCAATACTAATGGTTCTATAAACATACCGGCAATACCGCACAATATAGCCCACTTCTGTTTGGATTTATTCTGGTTGCTGTTGACTTCAGTGGGCTTGCCTCCCAACTAAATGCACATCAGTTTGCATCTAACTTCACCATCCCATTTCAATCCATAGAAGGCTAAAGGTACTCATTTTCTGTCTGCTGATTATATAATATTGAGGTTTTCTTCACTATGAGTGCATGTATTTAAATTATGGACCTCACAGAGGTTTACAAATTTGTCTATTAAGTCTGCAGGGCAAGCTTTAGATGATGTTTAATGAGACACATGGGCTCATTTCAGCCCATTTTAATGCATCTATAAAGCTACAAATAGAACTTAGGTTGCAGTAATGGAGAATATATGTAGTCTTGAGTTGAACTGTTGGTTTCTGAATGAGTTTGTTTCCTGCAGATGTTTTATTACCAGGTTAGGTAACATCAGCGAAACATCTGGAGGAAGAGAAGGAAGCTCAAGTGATCAAGAACTTAATAGAGCTTATGTGGGGAGGGCTGGCCCTCTCACTGTAACAAGATGACAAACTTGCCTTCTCTATAGAGACATTTTCTCATGAAATAGTAGGGAACTAATAAAAAAATTCTTTATTGCTTCAGCTATCTCTAATTTTTATGTAAGAACACTGCCCTTTAAAAATAATATGACTTGCATTCACATTAAGGCATAAGTTCCTTCTCCTTACCCATCTTCAACCTCCCCAAGTATCCCTCAAAACACAGGAGCAGAATGGAGCAGCAGAAAATCTTAATTCTGTTAAGGGTATTTACCAAAAGAAAGTTGGAATTCAAGAGTACCTATCAAAACATGTTGGGAATAAAGAATTATGTATGCTACTGTTTTGCTAGGCTAAGAACAATTTTTTGTGCTTTATTGAGGCAACCTTATTCTTGTTTGTCACTTTGTCAATAAAATATTAATGTGTGTGCTTACTTGCCTTTCTCTATCATCAAAACTAATTGATTAATAGAAACAGATGGAAACAAGTTTACAGATAGCTGGTGGCTGGACATCCCATTCTCCTAAAAGGTTTATTGCCAGTAGCATTTGTCGTCAATTATTCTTCAAAGTTGAAGAGCTGCAAAAACTAGCATGGCACATGTCATCAGCAGTATTTTTAATAGCTTTGGGATGTGAAAAAGCCAAACATTCCCTCAAAAATTAAATTATATGGAACATCAGACTGAAGTCAACTGGTTGTCACAGAACAATAGCACTTGAGATGCAAAGGGTGCTTAGGGACCTGTAACGTATTTAAATACTTTTACCTTTCCCAGGCTGAGGAAAGCATTTTTCAGGGTCAGGCAAAACACCCATTCTCCGTGGCAGGTATTCTAAAACCTGAGTAATCGAGCACGCTGAGCAGAGTTGGAATGCAAAATGGAAGATTTTGATGCACAAACAGTAAAACATCCATACAACATCACAATATTTGTTCAATAGCAAGATAATATTAACCTTGATGGTCCATAGAGCGTAATGCTTTGGTAGCTGTGTTCTGTGAAGGAGCCATATCCATATACCAGTGTTGTCCAAACTTGGCCACTTTGAGTGGACTTCAACTCCCAGAATTCCCCAGCCAGCCATGCTCTGGGAG